TATTATATACAAAACCTATAATAATATATCAATGATACTAAAACACTGTTTTGCTCACAATACATTTTTAAATAGAATAATTCCTCATTTATTTTTTGTTTATTTCAAAAAATAGTCCAAAAATATCAGCAAATTGTTAAAAATAATGAATATGATCAGTTACATATAGAAAAATGAGTCATTAAATGTATATCTAGTATACTTAAAAAATATTAAAAGTCTTGAACATTACTTAAAATCTCAGGTAATTCCAGAAAACAATTTAGGTTGTTTAGCTGACATAAAAACCCTGGGAAACCCTGTTTATAGACTAAAGAACATCAGTAACACCTGGTTCTACAACTGAGTGCTTATAGATCACTGTATAACGTTCAGGATGACAGTGTTTAGAGAACTATCTTTCAGTAAACTGTAGAAAACTGAGGACATATACCTGTGGGACACCCTTAAAACCTACATCTCTCTGCCCTTTTTTTTTTGCACAGCTTTTACCATGGACCTCTCCCCTGCTCTCTCTAGAAACACGTGCTTTCGAAATAATCTCGAAATAGTTATATAGAAATAATTATGATTTTAGAACATCCCAGGAATCTCAGTATATGTATCAACCGATTTTATATTCAAAAATTCATAAAACAAAGATAAAGTTTTATTTTTCTAAGAGTTCATAGTCATTTATGAGAGTAAAGAGAAATAATATCTATATAGAACCCTAATATATTATATTGCCATTTACCTCATATGCCTAAATTGCAGTTCTGTCTCTTATGAATATGTGTTGTTGTACCTTTAACCTGAATGTCTCTGGACGTATTTCCAATAAACTCTTATCCAGCTGTTGTGATGATGCTCTGAAAGGGATTGTCTGTGTTTTGCGTTTGTAAAACAGGCTTGAATGTTCCTGCTCTATTCTATTTATAGGTTAAGTTAACTATGTTAAGTTAACTAAGTTTGAGTGCAAAACGTAAATTGGAAACCACAGCTATGTTTGTATTTTTTAAATATATAATCTGAAATTGCTGGAAATACCAGTTTGTAAAAAGAAATGACTTACTAAATGTTTGTCATGGTTCAGCACATACTTTATTATTTATTTATTTATTTATTTTTAGAGAAGTCTTAGTGTTTATTAATTATTAATTGTACAGTATATTTAAATACTGTTTTACGAGACACACAACCTGTAATTTTTCAGTGTGCTCAGTGTTTATACCAATTTCCCTTACGAAAAATAAGTTTATTCAAGTGTGCTATTAGTATACTTCTTTTAAACTAAAAATAGGAAAGCCTCTGTCTAAAGTAGTTTACAAAATGCATAGTTTAATGTCTTTTTTCTTAATAAACTAAACAGTTACATTACAAGCAAACAGGTTTTCGCATATTGAAACTATATTGAATACAAAGTGAATTCCTAATTTCCTGTTTATTTAATCAATAATGCAAACATTTCTGGAGTGTGAGAGTTTTGTGTAACAGCTATTCCTCATGCATGTCCAAACATTACCTCAATAAACTGTAAACTGGCCAATATATTTTTGTTGAAGGACATGTAATAACACATTTGCTTGAAATCAGTAAATTATGACAGAAATCAGAGAACAAGTCACAGTCTGAACTGCTTTTGTGGCAATTAACAGAGATTAAAATGTCAAATCAATCAAGTGAACACTTAGATAGGCGAACAAGCCTTTGTATTTGTTTTCTGATTCTGTGAAAATTTGGTTAGGTTTTCATTTAATATTCTCACTGCCTGTTTTATTAAAGACTGACATGTTTGGTAATGTATGTCATAAAGAGACATAGCGCCATCTTGTGATGCAAAATGCACACTTAAAACAGCAGAGTTCAGGGCATAAAACACATTTAACCCATCTGGTGTTGCTGGTTAGCATAGCCACATTTGCCCCTGCTGGTAGATGTTGTAATTACACCAACTGGCTGCAAAGAGCATCTTTTGACAGTCATTTAAAGCAGCCATGTATTCTGACAGAATATTTTTTGCAAGCAATAGATAAATCGCAAATATTTCATTATATTATAGTAGATGATTTACCAGTGACGATTTGTTTTGGATGGGTAAAATAAATGTAAATATGTATATAGATTTTTATATAGATAAATAGATTTATACATAATAAAATATTTATATATAATATAAATTATTTTATAAATATGTATATATATTTTTTTTTTTTATATAAAAATGTCTTTCCATATTGACAGCCATTTAGCAGCCATGTATTCTGAAAGACAGAATTTTTTTTGCAAGCAATATATAAATAAATACAAATATTTCATTATATTATAGTAGATGATTTGCCAGTGATGATTAGTTTTCAGAGGGTAAAATAGATTTGCACACACACGCACACACGCACACACACATTATGAAGCACCAAACAGGAAATAATTATATAAAGTCTGAATATACAAAAATGTAAATTGTGAATATATAGAAGTAAAACAGAATATATAGTTGTAAGTCTGAATGCAAAGAGATTAATGAAATTCTATATTACATTACATTATGTCACGGGGTGAAGAATCACACGACAAGGATGGCTCAAAAAATGCCCCGGC